TCTTCCTGATGGCCGCGAGCTCTCTGGAGGCGACGATTGGTGCGGCGTGATCGCAACACTCGACCTCGCACTCGTAGGTGCGCTAGAAGGAGGTGTCGACGGTGATGACCCCGCCTGGGCCATGCATCTTCAGCTTCAGGTAGGTGTAGTTGGGGATGGCCATGAACTTCGCGGAGCATGGTCATCCTAGGATGGCGTGATAGGTTCCGTGGAACCCAACCACTTCGAAGATGAGGGTCTCTGTCCTATAGTTGGACGGACCCCTGAAGGTGACGGGCAGATTGATCTGCCCAAGTGGCACGGCCTGCTTTCTAGGCACGATGCCGTGGAAAGGCGCTCTTGTCGGCCAGATGCGGGCTCGGTCGATGCCCATGGCGTCGAGCGTCTCGGCGTACATGATGTTGAGGCCACTGCCTCCATTCATCAATACCTTAGTGAGCCGCTTCATGCCGATGATTGGGTCGACCACGAGCGGGTATCTCCTAGGTTTTGGGATGATCTTCGGGTGGTCGGTTCGATCGATGGTTATGGCGGACTCCGACCATCGAAGAAAGGCGGCGTGGGCCACTCGGTCGTATAGACCTCATGGTGCGTGAGCTTCGACGGCGTTTGGAGTCAAAGGCGCCAACCCTCCAAAGATCATGAGGCAGCCATCCGCAGATCGGAAAAGCCGCCGCCCTTCCCTTGGCGTCATCCATGGTTGGATCGGGGTCCTTCCACGCCCCTTTGTTGGAACCTCGGATAAGAACCGCTTCATGAGGTCATAGTCCTTGTATGAGATGTTTGTGGGGAAAGGCATGGTTCGTGCATGGCCCCTCGAGTAGCTTCTCAAGTGGTTCAGAGTGCCCTCCATGGGCTTCCCACCACCCTTTACATTGGCGGGCGGCCACGAGCGAGCTCTGTGTCTTTGCTACTTGTTCTTCTTCTTAGCAGGATGGTTGGAGGCACTTTCGCCGGCGTCCTTGTCCTGTTTTGTCTTGCCCTTGAGGTGGTCGAAGATCGCTCCAACCGCCTCTTCACCCAAGGCATGGTCTTTGGTGATGTCGAGGAGCTCCTTGGTGGTTCACGGGCCCTTGTGTCCTAGCTTGTGAACCAGTGGATTCGCAAGTGGTCCTGCACAGAAAGCTCCTATAACGTCGGCGTCGGCGACGTTAGGTAGCTCGTTGCACTGCTAGGAGAAGCACCGGATATACCCACGGAGAGTATCTCCGGCCTTCTGTCAGCAGTTCTTGAGATCCCATGGGTTCCTAGGGCGCTTGTATGTGCCCTAAAAATTCCCCACAAAGATCTCTTTCAGGTCCGCCCAACTTTGGATTCTGTTGGGCAGAAGGTGTTCCAACCATGTTCGTGCCGAATCGGCCAGGAACAATGGAAGGTTGTGGATAATGAAATCGTCATTATCGCTACACCGACCTGGTGCACAAGCCGATAGTCCTCAAGCCACGATCCGGGGTTCGCTTCCCGCAGTATTTCGGGATGTTGGTCGGTGGTCGGTACCTTGGCAGGAAGGTAGCGTTGAGGATGTGTCGACCGAAGGCCTGAGGCCCCAGTAGGCCAGGGCTCGGGCTTCGGTCCTCATTGTCGTCGTAGCATCCACCACGATGAGGGTGATAGCCGTGGCTAGCTCCCTCTCTTGGATCGTCGTAGGTACGCCTGCGGGCATCGAGGGTGTCACGCGCGTCTTGGTTGTGTCCGAGATGTTGATGCACCGGACCGCGGTCTTGCCGCTTCTATCGCCTTTGTGGTGCCTCGTGGACTGATGCGTCCTTGCTGGGGTGTTCTGAGGGCGTGCGCTCGCTGGCGTTGAGCTCGCGTCGCCGAGACAAAGAGCTCTCGGCCTATCAGCGCACCGCGACGCCGCTCGGCGGCGCAGGCGAATCTCCTGATGGGCCCGTCGATCCTCAAAGCGTCGAGGGCCCGGAAGCCCCCCGAGCAAAACGCCGCAGCGGTGATGTTCGCTTGCCGAGCAAAGGGCGGAGTGCTTGATCATCCTCGATGATCCTCCGGTTCATGTCACGAGCCATGGCGCATGCACGCCCCGTCTTCGTGGCGCCGATCTCACGATCGAGCTTCGCTGCTCTCCTCGCCGAGCTAGAGTCACGCTTCCTCGTTCTAGGTGTCGGGCCTTCACCGCTCCACCCACATACGTGGTAGAGCTCCTGCAGATCCCCTTGACCTCGTCGTCGAGGTCGTTCATCGGGTAGCCTCGTCCTCGTTGATGCTTTCGACGTGTCCCTCGGTGGTACCTATCATAAAGCATTCACGAGAGAGGCGATGGCTTCCCCTACTTTGGAGTTAGACGGAGAGGGCGACTCTCGCTCTCTCCGCGAGAAGGTCATGGAAAGACTCCACAACGTGTTCGGTCACTCCCACGAACTCGCTGCGTTCTTGGTGGATAGAATAAATGCGTTGCGCCACAGGTGACCAATGGTCTCTGCAGCGTTGCAGAGACCGAACGGGGTCACTGTCGGGGCGCTCCGGATGAGGTATTCAGGGGAGAGTGGCTCTCCCCTGGTAAGCTGCGCCATGACATTGGCGAATGAGAAGGTGAGGTGGCGTAGGCCCTCCCGGGACGGTTGGGATCCTAGGAAGATGCCGAGCTGACGCTCCAACCTCCCGTAGTCAAAGTCGAGAAGCTAGACACTCCCGGGGCGCGGGCCTCCGGCGCACGCAGCCACAACTCCTCGAGAGCTTTGGTAATTGTGTCGACGCCGGCGGAGTGGAGGGGTTGAACAACAACGGGCGTCCGCGCCAACTCTCCCACCGTCGTGACGATGAAGTCCAAGCCCCCGAAGCGCACGTGTGCGCCCGGGACCCAGCTGATGCCGTGACTAGCCATCCGAGGCCTGGTGCTGATGTCGAGACGCGCAAAGTCCCCTACGTGGCGCGTCAACTGTCGGTGTTTCGAGTAAACACCAATGAGTAAATTTGTATTATTGCGCGTCTGGCCCGGATGGTGTGCTAAGAAGACACAAGGTTTATACTGGTTCGGGCAGAATGACCCTACGTCCAGTTCGTGGTTGCTGCTCGTGTTACTAGCACTGAAAGTTCGTAGTAGGGGTTATAAATAGTCAAGAGAGGGACATGTCCCAAGTCGATGGTGGTGTGTTGTGATGAATTCCGATTGGTTCGGATGGGTTCGGATGTCTTCGGATCGAGTGTCTGTTGTGCGATATGATATGCGATAGATCGCTTATTCGATGCCACTTAGTGGGGTGCCCCGCCTTCCTTTTATAGGCCAAGGAAAAGCACGGGTTACAACGGGAGAAAAGAGAAGAACGAGAGGGAGAGAAAGTCCCTCAGGGTCGCCGGACCTTTCCCTTCCTTTGTGTGGGCCCCGCTGACACGGCCGGTGGTGACAGGGACAGTCCCATGTCGGGCGCTTGTCGCTTTGATGATGCCATGCCACTGGTGGTGTTGTCGGTGGTCGTGACGTTCCATCCCGCCCCGGCGACACAGCGTGCTGATTAGCGACCATACAGGGGGTAGGCAGCACAGTGACCACACGTCCGTCACTGTGGGCGATGTGAGTCCCCTGGAATGACATGTCGCGGGGACGGGTCGTGTTGAGACGTGACTGCTCCCTACACAATGCCAGAAGTTTGACCTTGCGTTGTACTTTCTGGCCCGTAGTGGTTGGCGGTGACGTGAGCTTCCGTCAGGAGCCGTACCCAAGGGATCGGGCGGAGCGGAGCTAGCCCTCAGACGTCGGCGAAATGGAGCCAGCCCTTCAGACGTCGGGTGAGGCAGAGCCCGCCCTCAGACGTCGGGCGAGGCAAAGTCAGCCCTCAGAGGTTGAGCGAGGTGGAGTCCGCCCTTAGGGGTCAGATGAGGCGGAGCCCAACTCTCGGGGGTCGGACGAGATGGAGCCCGTGGCCTCAGTGTCCACCACGGCGGAGCCCATGGCCTCGGTGGTCGGACGAGACGGAGCCCAGCAAGAGGTGTAGTCACGCTCTTAACCGCTCGGATGGATCAACGTCGATGATCATTAGCTCATCTTCGGGTACCTAGTATTGATCCTCGACACTGTTTCTTAAACTCAGGGTCTCAAATTCATCAAACGGCTTACGGATCATGGATTGCAGGTCTCTGTACGCGCTCATCGCCTGCCTCTCGGCGTCGCGGTGCACGTACCGCGCCATGATGCGGGCACAGTTCGGCCTCCCCGTCCCCGAGGCGCCCTGCGCCGACTGCCTGGTCCACCTCTGCTGCGAGCCCTGCGCCCTCTGCCAGCTGTATTGGGGAGCTCAAGGCTCGCGGCCTCAACCCCGTCCGCGCAGGGGATGCGACGGTGCTGATCGTCGGTCGATCCACTTCCATCCTATGTATTCGATCAATTGTACAAGTGGATCGACGGCGCAGGTGATGACAGATCGAGACAGAGTACAAGGTGTATGTACGTGCGTGCTATCTGGGGATGCTGATGTACGTGCTCCACAGATCACATCGTTCGTCACTCGCTGCTTCATTCATCAACTCACCAATTACCGGAAACTAGCCGTCTGCTTATTCAGAACTATTTTTCAGTTATAAAATAGTCTTTTTTTTCATAATAATTTAGCATAAACTAAATTTTAGCATCAGCAGACAAGACAGAGAGCTAGGAGGATCGGATATGACATCGTAGATAATTATAAAAGGACCTGCGATTGAAGGAGAGATCGACGATCGATCGGTCGTAGATGGCAGCAGCGGCGGCACTGTCCGTGCGCACGACGACGACGTCCCTGCTAGCCAGTGGCCGATCTTGATCGCACAAGCAGCAGGGGCCATTCTTTATATTCGAGTCTTAATCATCTATGAACAGTAAAAAAGTTATTGTTTAGCAAGTGGAAATTATATTGGGCAGGGAGGGCCATGGCCCAGCTTGGTCTGAACCAAGCTCCGCCCCTGCTGCTAGCAGCAGTCCTGTCCCTCTGCATCGCCTCCCTCTCCCTCCGCAGCGCCGACGCCGCGCGGGTCTCCCCTCCCCCGGCGCTAGCCCGATCGGGGCCACCTGCATGTCGGGCCCGTACCTAGAGCTGTGCGTGGGCGAGCTGGCCCAGCGGCTGCTGGATGTCCAAACGTTCATCGCGTCCGCCACGCTCAACCAGGGCGCGGCCAAGATCGCCGGCGCCCCGAGGCAGGTGGACGTCAAGGCGCTGGTGTCCGTGGCGCTGGAGGTGGCCTCGGAGGTCGGCGCCGTCGCCGTGTCCATCTTCAAGGACAAGCTCCAGGGGTTCAACACCAGCGTGCCGGATTCCCACTGCCTCGGCAACTGCAGCGTCAGCATGCGCCGCGCCATGCAGAAGCTTCCACGGCGCCAAGGCCGTGCTGCACTCGGGCGACACGCAAGCACCGCCACCGCTGCCGCCAAACGTGTAGACGAGCCGTCGCTGCCGCACGGGCCGAATAGCGGCATGCCGACGAGCTGAGTATGGCCATATGGGAGGTGAGAGATGGAACTGACATGTGGACCTAGGTCCGTTTGGATTAATATAAGACCCAAACAGAGTTTAAGTACCAAAATGACAAATCTTCTAAGTTCGGGGATCGGGATGACACACCTTTCCAAGTTTAAGGACCGACTATGAACTTTACTCCTTAAAAAATATCACAACTTGTTCACAATAAAAAAAAATATCGCAACTCATCTGTCACGGTGTGTGCAGTGTGCCAGTGGTTCCTCTTCCAAGTTCCACCACGACCACACGTGCCGCGCACATGCTCAACAAAAGGTGTGTACGGTTGCAAGAATGATACACGAGCCAATTGATGGTGCTCACAGTATAGCAATTGAAGATGGTACTAGGCATGGGTCTATTGCACATGCTACTATAACTTTTACCGTATTATTGTGGGTGTTCCTCATTTTGCTACCATGCAAGCTCATGAAGGATGGAAGGTCCTAGAATTTTTTTTTGACACCTCTATTGACACTCAAAATCGCACCTAAACTACAATTGGAGTTCTCGCTCTCACTCTTTCACTCAACCTGTTAGAAGTATTTTGTATGCTTCTTTTTTCAGGTAGCTACTATTGCTAAGGTCTTGGAACCCTTGGAGGGTGAAGCTCACACCCTCCTTTTTTTTTTGTGCCAAGCTGACTGTTGTACTCGATCTCCGAGATGTGACTCTGCTAACTGACAATCAAGTGTGATGCAACTCTGCTAGCCGACTGTTGGCCTCAGTTATGCTTGCTACTGGATCGCCACGTATTTATCTTGAACATTGGTCAATGTGTCTTATCATTGTTGAGGTACAGGACATCAAGCAAACAGCCACCTGATCGATGATGTTGAAATTTAGCTTATGCTGATGTTTATGCTGAAATACTGTGAGAGAGAAAAACACTGTTCCATGACTAAAAAGTAATTCTGAATAAGCTTAAGCGTACGGGGCGAAGAAACTACTCGATAATCAAGAATTAAAGATATATACCCATGTTCGCTTGGCTGATAAGCCATAGCGAAAGTACTGTTGACTGATTTATTGTGAGAGAAAAATACTATTTGTTGGCTGAAAAAGTACAGCTTATGAGCCAAGCGAATATGCCGATAAGAGAAAAAATAAGATAGTTGACGGTACCTCTTGCTAAAGAAAATGATGTGGGGTCCATGATGAAATATTAGAAATAGATTATTAAAGAGTTTATCATATATTTGGACTAGTATTTAATAAGCGATAAGATATTAGCTTTGGCGGCAGGACCTCGACTCTGACCGCTCAATCAAGTGGTAACCTAGCCCTGTTGCCTTTTGAGTTATTCTATAATATATATACTCCTATATATTTGTCCATGGGCCCACATGACACGACTTCGGCGATTCGCCACGCGGCCCACCACGCAACAACCACTCGCTGGATAAATTATTTGCCCGCGCAGCGCGCACGCATACGCATCCAGTTCCAGCTCACGCCACGCCTCTCTTTCACCCAGTCCCAGTCAGTCACAGCGCACACCTCCCAACCTTCTCGGAGATCGCAGCTCACCGCGGCTCAGCCAGGGCGGCAGGCATGGCCGGCCGCGAGGTAGGCGACTGCGGCGGAGAGGGAGAGGAGCCGCCGGCCCGTGAGCTCCCCGACGACATCACGGACGAGATCCTGCTCCGCCTGCCGTCGCGCTCCGCGCTGGCGCGCGCCGCGGTGGCGAGCTGCGCGTTCCGCGCGCGCGTCTCCTCCCTGCGCTTCCTCCGCCGCCACCGCTCGCTGCACCGATTGGACCCCGGCTCGCTCCTCGGGGTCTTCACGTTCCCCCTCGTCCCCGACGGCGCGCGCGGCGGCGGCGGCACGGGCTTCCACCCCGCCGAGCCGCCGCACCCGGCGGCGTCCGCCGCCAGCGCCGTCGCCGCCGCGGCCGACTTCTCCTTCGGCTTCCTCCCGGCCGCGGCGGCGGACCCCTCCGCCGCGGCTGGGTCTGAGGCGACCGCGACGGCCGAGTGGATGGTCCGGGACTACCGCGACGGCCGGTTCCTCCTCGACCGCGTGCCGGCGGCCACCGGGAGCACCGTCTTCACCGAACTCGCCGTCTGCGACCCGCTGTCCCGCCGCTACGTCCTGCTCCCACCCATCCCGGACGACCTCGCCGACACCGTCCACAGCGTGCTCACCGTCTTCGGCGGCCGCCGCGCGTGCGAGCCCTTCCTCGCGCCCGCCGAGGCCGCGGACGCGGACCCGCCCCTCACCGTGTTCTGGACGGCCCGCTCCCCGAGGAAGATGATCGCCTTCGCCTTCTCGTCGCGCGACGGCCGGTGGCGCGCGCTCGAGTCGCCGCACTGCTTCGTCTGGCGCAGGCACCGCTCCCCGTTCAGCTGCCCCATCAGCGCCGTCTGGAACCGCCGCCACTACGCGCACGGCCGCTTCTACTGGGTGGACTGCCTCACCAGCCGCTGGCTCGTGCTCGACGCGCGCACCATGGAGCTCTCCCTCGAGGTCATCCCGTCGCCGGCCGGCTACTGGGAGGAGCACGTCGCCGTCGTGGAGGCTCCGGACGGGAAGCTGGGCGTCTTCGCACACGGCTTCCACCACCCCGGCGGCAAAGCCAATCTGCACTACTATACGATCGTGCACGACACGGAAGCCGGCGGCAGCGACGCGCGGCGGTGGCAGCTGGAGAAGACGATCCCGCTGCCGTGGCCGTCAGACCACCGCCCTTTCTGCCTCCGGGGCACGGGCAACGGGTGCGTCATCATTGAAGTCAGCGAGGAAAAACCAGTATTCATGGCGAGCCACCGCGTCAGGGACGCTGAGCTCTTCAAGATCGACGTCAAGAGTTTCCAGCTCCAGAAGATCTGCCGGGCACGGTGCGCCGGCAGCGCTGCCGGCGAGTGCTGCTGGCCATACTTTGGTTTCCCGCCATCGCTGTCGTTGCCCACTGTGTGAGCACTGAGCAGCATGATGTTAATGAAACAAAATTATCTTCAACTTTAGAGCGAGCCTTCAGTTTGTATGGTCTACATGTATAAGCAACACTTGTACTCGTCCAGTTTGTTTACAAATGCAACGCATACATACAGATACAGTTTACAAGTACAAAGCAAACAGCAACCTCAACATTTTTCAACTGTATAAACCCCACAAAGCAGGAGACGACCATTGCCCAAAGGCATAGATTATAGTCAAAGCCACGTCACTTGATCTTTGATTTCCTCTTGTACACTGTCCCATTGCCGGTTGCTTTCAATGGTACCATAGCAATGAGCAAGTACAGCATTGCACCTTCTACACAAAAGATGGCAGCTTGTATGAGGCAAAAGGAACCAACTGCTGTACAGCCTAGAGGATAATCCATAGATCATGCCAGGTGCTCCTAGCTTGCTCTATGTTTTGATATCTTCCACTGCATGTTTGTCGTTCTCTTTGTTCTCTTAAAGGATTGCTCAAGGTCAGCTGAGGACCATCCAGTGAGACCAGAAGATCGCCCATGGCTTGCAGAGGATGATCCTGCGCCACGGAAAGATGGCCCAGGGTCCGCTGAAGATGGTTCAGCCAGACAAGAACGGATACCATACGATGCTGCAGTCGAGCTCACCATACCTGTCACAGCAGGTGCAAAGCTCTCCACAAACATGCCACAAGATATCAAAGTCTCACCAGGAGGCATGTTGATGTATGAAACTGTACCATCCTGAAGATCTACACAGAGAAGTCTCTTCTGGTTGCCAAAGAAGATCTTAGTCTTGAGCTGGAAAAATGGGCTTATGCCCACAGGCATCCGAGGAACGATAGTCTGCAAGTGGATCCAGTCTTGACTAGTCAAGTCTGCCACCCAAATATCTGACACTATATTGTTAGATCCATCAGAATGTGTTGACAACAAACGAAGCTTTCCTTCCCCTTCAAATAGTCCCAAATTATGGTTTTTACAGCATCTGGGATGGCAATTTTGAGAACCTCTCATCTGTCAGGTTGAGCGTCAGGATTTCTCGACACAAATGGGAGGAAGCCTCATTAAGAAGTAACCAATACATGCCATCATTAACAATGACTGCCTTTGTTGCCTTTAGGAGCTCTGCAGATTCATGTATTGTCCTCCATGTCCTCCATGACAGTGCACCAATAGTGCATATTTCAAATGTCAAGAACCTCACACGGTGACGGATAGAGACCACCTTGTACTCTTTTTGCGGAGGGCACAAATCCAACAAAATATTCAGAGTAAAGAGACTGTAACTTGAGTACTGAATCTGGGAGCCTAAAATGCTTCCTTGTTGTGGGATTCAAGACCTCAGCATCGCTTTTATATCATAGGCACACACCAAGCCATTGCAGGGGCCTGACATGTTAAACCTACTTGAGAATACAAGCTCCACGCTTCTGAAATTCATTGTGGCAGGATCAAATGTGTACATGTGGACTAGGCCATGATCAAGCGAGGTGAAACAAGCAATGGACTGGTGGAAGCGGCAAGCATTATTCAGGTGACGGTCCACAAAACTAGGTTCTTCAACACAGTCTCGCCAGAACTTGCACACACTGCGGGACTTGACAACATCCCTGCCAGGAAGAAAAGCAAGGATAATCCCTTGGGCGTCTTGAGGAATGAATATTTGAGTTTCCGTTGCTTCATTCTGCTTATCAAGATCATCATTGTTACAGTCCATGCCAAGGATGCAATCTACAATTCTGTCCAAGGTAAAGGTTTGGTCAGTAATCACTATGCAACAAAAAAAAGCAAGACAGGGCTTGCTGATACAAAATTGTACTGAAATAAAAATATGCCCTTCAGTGTCCAACATAAAAGTTTCCACTAGAGCAATTAACATCATAAGGGAATGGGTTTGGTACTGCTATGTGAATCCATTCGTAAATGGCTGAAAGTAAACGTAGAACACAGATACAGAATCAAATGCGCACCAGCATGTTCTAACTAACATCAATACCATTATGGATGCGCCACTTTGATGAAGTAATAAAGAGTTTTAAACTTCTTCCAGAAATGGATATTGAAGAGCATCTCCAGCAGCTCACCAATAATTCATCCCCAATAGGATGGTAATGATGGTCACCGATACTGCTTTTTTGGAATATTGGGGGAGATGCTTCAGCAGATCACCAATATTCTTCCCCAATGCATAGGACCCACATGTCAGATTACAATTTTTATTTTCTTTCCTCTTTCTCTCCAGCAGGGTGTTTCTTCCCCGCCGCTCCCCACCCCGCTAGCACTTTCCCCGCCCCTCACGCTGCTCTCGGCTGCCGCCCTCCTCCTCCGCTTCGCCGCCACGTCCCGGGGATCCCCGCTCTCCTCCACCCAGCCCTCCTCGCACTCTCTATTCTCCTCTGGCTTGTGGCCCTCCGCATCCTCCCCTCCCTGGGCCTCCTCGTCCTCGCAGACTCCGCTGGCTCCCTGCTCGCCCGCGCCCTGCACCGGCCCTATCTCCGTCGCCAGCAGACGAGGTGTCGAGGTGGAGACGTCCTCATTACCAACAGCGGCGCGGGCAAGGAGCAAGTGTTCAGATCCACGAGCCAGCCACATGCACACAATACCGGCACACACACTTGTCCAAACCCCTACAGCGGCGGTGGTTGCTGAGTAGCTTGGAGGACGGTGACCATGGCAGTCTGGTGTGCGCAGTGTGCAGGGAACAAGAAAAGTGGCAGTTATCATGGGGTCCACAGTATTGGGGAAGATGCAACTCCCCCTCTATTTGAGGTGAGCTGTTGTAGCAATGAAATCACCTCATCTCCCCCAATATGACAGGTTTGTGGGGATGAGGGATTGTATTGGGGAGCTGCTGGAGATGCTCTGTACTACAGATGCAAGGATCTGTGAATCACAACAAGATGAGACCCCCAGCCCCCCTACAAAAAAAAGGATCATTCATAGAGGAAAACAGTACTGGGCTATCATGATAGAGATTAAATGATTATGTATCAAAATCAATTAATTAACCTTAAAGGTGGAAATAGTAAAATGTGCACAAGGATATCAAATTCACAAGTTATAAATAAAAAAGGAACATATATGACACTCAAAGCATGGTATGCAATCAATATGCTTTGCCCTCCCTCCCTACCATTTACAATGCACTATTGGCCACTCGCATGCTAGATATTAAACCCATCCAACCCTATCTCCAATTTTAGACCACTGGACTACATCAAGGACAAATAAGCATTTTTTACAGCAAATACTTGTTATTTTAGCTTCCATCAGGTATGATAGTGTCCATCTCTCAGTGCAGTTTTATTTCACTGTCCATTTCTACCCCAACTCCAAGTTAGCGATGTGATCCCTATATTAGCATAGAAGCAGGAAAGTCCTAAGCAAGTTTTCTCCCAACGAGAAAGAATGCAGGGATAGCCTTTGCTTCACAAGTTGGTAATAGAGGTTCAAGACTACGACCAATTCCATCATCAGGATAACATCTATGCATCTCCAATTCCATTGAGAGATAATTCCTATTCCCCATGATATATGCAGCCACCGGATCTAAACTTTGCCTATAGAAGTAGATTCAACCAATGGTATGGCTAAAATGGTGCCAATCATACAACGAACAGCACATACAACCAATGGCACAAAGATCTGCCACTTTGTGCAGTCAACCGAACTCCATTTCGCGAGATATTTCAACATGATCTCAGAGCATCTCCGCAGTGAAAAGCAGGGGCGGACCCAGTAAAGGACATGTATACATATTTCTTTTGCAAAGCAATCGAAGTTAGTAGCCGTAATACATGCATATGCACTTGTAACTAGATCAGATCCGAATACAAATACCAAGTTAGGGTTTGGGTGGTGCACCGTTTCACGCAACAGGAAGGGAAGACCGAGGGGAGGGCGTACCAGGTGGTGCTCTTCGCCGACGAAGGGGCCGGAGAAGACCTGGGCACCTGGCGTAGGCGGCGAAGACTGCCGCCCAGGCGTCGCCACGGCCCACGAAAGCGAGCGAGCGAGCGAGAGAGAGAACGGTGGGGGCGGTGACGGACAAGGAAAAAAAAGGTTGCAGCATACAGGCAGAGGCAGCTCGGGGCCGTGTAGGGGCCGGCCTGACACTGGAGTAGATTGATTGTACCATTCCAGCTTCCAGGTGCTAGATATCCCTAAAAATACTCCCGTGCTAGATTTGGAATTTAGACGGTGAAGTATGGAGGTGCTAGGTGCTTGTTCTTGAATTGCTCTTAAAATTTATGTCACATCGAATATTTAGATCCTAAAAAAGAGTATTAAATATAGATTAATTACAAAACCAATTACATAGATGGAGGCTAATTTGCGAGACGAATTTTTTAAACCTAATTAATCCGTCATTAGCACATGTACTGTAGCACAATGTTGTCAAATCATGAACTAATTAGGCTTAAAAGATTCGTCTCGCAAATTAGTCGCAAGTTGTGCAATTAGTTTCATAATATTTAATACTCCATGCATGTGTCAAACATTCGATACGACAAAAATTTTAAGAGTTCCTGTACGAAACAAACATGCCCTTAGCTTTCACAGTTTTTTTTTTTCAGTTTCACGTGTCTACATGTATTTAAGTGTTGGTATTACAAAATGAAATACTTTTAATGAATTTCACTCAATTTTCTAACTTGTGAGGATGAAAAACATTCTCAATAGAGTTTTAATCAATTTCCAATGAGCTTAGCCGAGTGCCTATCCCGACTTAGCTATTTATGTCCGAGCTTATAGGTTTGCGATGTTTTTCCTCGATTATGTCCCGACCCGCCGTTTGGCTATTTATTCAGGTAAATTGTCAATTAAACGAGATGGATGACTGACTATATGGAAAAGCAACATATCATTGTGTACCATTTTATGGCCCCGTTCGATGGTCTGAATTTTGGCTGAAACTGGCTGAAAAAACACTGTTCCGACTGAATTGTTGTGAGAAAAAAAACTGTTCCAGCTAAAAAAACAAGCCGAATAAGCCAAATTTAAGACAAGCTTATATGGTGTTTAAACGACATGATTAGATGAACAATAGTTTAATCTCACGAGCATATTTACTACTCCTTTTAAAGAATTACATTCCTAGCAGAGGCGGATCTACAGTATACCATTAGGGCCGATGACTCCGATAACTTATGGCTAATTTGTCTAGTCATAATTCTCAACATAACATCATATCACACTAGCTTCTTTGAGGGTGCCCCCGATGCCTGATTTTGCTAGATTCGCCCCGATTCCTAGAGGTCATAACTACAAGGAGAAAGTCTTTTTAAAAGAAATAACATGAAGAATATTCCTGGAAGTCATAACTACAAGGAGAAAAAAAATTGTAACTAAAATCAAATAGGAATATTCCTGAAGGTCATATATGAAAAAGATAATAAAAAAGAATAAGGTCATATGGAAAAATAAAAATAAAAAAAATTGTCGTGAGTGGGATTTGAACCCACGCCCCTTCGGACCGGAACCTTAATCTGGCGCCTTAGACCAACTCGGCAATCTCGTCGAGTTAGTAAGGCTGTCCACATTTACTTTCTTATTCTATTCATCATTATCTCTTCTCATCGGCCGTGGCCGAAGCAGTATTCCCATTATCCAGTTCCTTCCTCGAAGCTGCAACAATGGAGTCTGCGTCGCTCACGTCACTCACCAATCTATTCCCGTGCGCTTCCCCGTCTCCAATGTAATGTGGAACGCCATCTCCTCCTACAGTCAAGATGAGAAAGAATCGTGTTCAATTTTCACAATTTGTTTTGGGCCCGTTCCGGGAGTTCTTTCAATCAGATGCCGGTGTCCGTCGGAACTGAAGAAGATCCGGCCGGCACGCCGCAGTAAGGCTTCGTCTCTGAAGGCAACCTGTGGGCTCTCTAGGCGGAGGGCAGTTTCAGAGCTAGTGGTTCTTGGTGCTGTGGCCCTATCCATGCCCGCGCAAGCAGCAATGTTGGAGCCTGATATTACCAGGTAACGCGGAACGAATCGTCGCAGCTATACTGATTTTTTCCAGTGGTCATGCAATCTGATCTCTTGTTTCCGTTTTGAAGTTTTCAGGTACCGGAAGCTGGACAGTGGAGTCATACTCGAAGGTACTGTACTGGTAGCAGTGAGTTGCTTTCGCACAGTGTTTCAGTTATGTTTCTGATTGCTCATGGACAAATTGCGCTTCTTGATCTGAAGATGTCGTCGATGGGGAGGGGCCTGAGGCACGGGATGGCGATCTGGTGCAGTTCAACTACGTCTGCCGCCGCGCAAACGGTTATTTCGTGCACAGGTGTGTGGAATTCTAATGCCAGTGTTGTTCGGTACATACACTGAAAACGTGTTGCAGTTTCAATTAGATTGAGTCCAGTAATCTGGTGGTCTCACCATGTTTTCCATGTTTGCTGCAACTCAGCACGGTGGACCAGTTCAGCGGTGAGAGCAAGCCGGTGACCCTTCCACTTGGCGGAGAAGAGGTTACAAGCTTCACTCCTGAAAATGTTTTCCCCACATTCTTCAGAAGTATAGATATTATAGGTGCACTCTGCTGCAGTTTCTAGTTCTGTGAATTTGTTTGATGTGATGTCTAGCTTATGTTCTGTCCAGATGATTCGAGGCCTGAAAGACGTCATAATAGGGATGAAGGCCGGAGGTAATTTGGATATCAGCTTAGTTCCAGTTTCATCAATTGTTCATTTTTTTTTTCTTATAACGATGTGAATCTTGATGGTCTGACACTATGGTTTTAGGACAGCCATTTTATTCTAACCTTTTTCATGACTTGGTATGCACTGTGCAGGCAAGAGTACGGCTCTGATTCCTCCTGAAGTAGGCTACATCAGTGAGACATTGAAACCCATACCAGAAGAGGTGCACGATCTCGATGCTGTACTCTTTTTTCTAGATTTGATTTGAAGGAACATTAGTACATTACCTCTAAATGCAGATTTTGCACAATTCTGATGGTTTATACAGCTGACTTACGACTACTCTTCTGCTTGTTTTTGGTTCAAAATGCAGTTTGGACCGCGGCGAAGTCTGCTGTCTCATGCCAAGGAGCCACTGGTGTTTGAGGTTCAGTTGCTGAAGGTCCTGTGATTCTGCATTTTGCCATCATCATCATCGTCATCTTCCTTGGTCAATGCAAACGGTGCTCCAAGGGAATCACCGAGTTCATTGTAAACATAACTGTTCTCCCTTTGAAATCGAAATCAGTAAATTCAATCAGTGAAATAGTTAAGCAGCAGCCATCCTGCTTTTGTCAAAATATCGTTAACTTCAGACTCAGAACGGTTCTTCTCTGAAATGGAGAAGCGGGTCAAAGTTTCTGAATGGTTCTGCACTGAAACGGATACGCGAATCAGATTTTTCAGAATTTCTTCATGACCATTTGCAAATATGCCATTCACGAACTGCACGTCACAGTTCATGCTTGCAGGTTTTTTCCTTGTGCGACTCAAAAGAGCGTAAACCCAAAAGTTTGAAGGGGGAAAAAAAGTGATTTTGAATTGCATTGCTGTTTGAATGCGAGATTTTTACTGTTTGCTATCCGTATCGATCGTGCAATAAGCGGTGTAGTACAGGCAGTAGGAGGGGAAGACCGACTTGCAAAGCAGCACTGGCAATTCCAGCCGGCCGCCGCCGCCATCAGCATCAGCGGGAGCTGTCAAAGTGGCGTCTTGGAGGCCGACGAGCCCTCTCACTGGCGAGCCAGAGACAGCGACGCCGCGCACCGTCACGTGCGGAGGGAGGAGGCTGCCGGCCGTGTCTTCTACATAGCCGCCATGGCCAAACCACGAAGACTCGGCGTGGCTGACCGCCAGCACCCGGCGCCACAGCCTGTGGTCCGGGCGGGACCTCAGCAGTGCGCCCACGACCTTGGCGCCGAAGAAGGACCCTCGCAGCCTCTTGGCGATGGCCTGGCCCGCCGCCGCCAGCCGCGGGTCCGCCTCGGCGTCGTCCGCGCCGCCGAACGCGTGCGCCTTGAAGAAGAACCAGTACTCCTCCGGCGGCAGCGGCCGCAAGATAATCGGCTCCGTCGTGCCGAGGTCCACGACGTGCTTGTCGCTGCCGGTCACGATGATCCTGCTCCCTGTCCGGCCGCGCCGCAGGGCCGGCATGATGGCGTCTATCACACACTTCTTGCGCGGGTCGACGTTGTCGAACACGGCCAAGAACCTCTCGCCGCGCAGCTTCCGTTCGAGGGGCCTCAGCTGCTCGCCGGCGGCGCCGAGGCTGGTGCCTGCCGTGCTGGCGACACTGAACAGAGAGCGCAGAAGCTGCACAGCCTCGCTGGGTACCGTGAGGCTCATGCAGTGGAAGTCCACCAGCATGATCAGCGAGGCGCACCGCGGGCTCGTCGCAGACGTGCTGCACAAGGGTCGTCTTCCCGAGGCCGGCGCGCCCGATTATGGGAAGAACGCCTAGCTCGCCGACGCCGGCAGCGCCTTCGTCGTGCAGCAAGAAGTCAATGACACGGCGCCTCTCGAGGTGCCTGCCGAACACCTGGCAGTCAGCGTAGATGTTCGTGGCCAGCGGCCGGTGCAGCGCCGGCGGGCAGCACTGCAGCAGCATGATGAACTCGGCAAGATCGTTGGACACGCTCTCCATGTCCGCGAGGACGCCGTCGAGCTCGCCACCGCCGCCACCGCCACCGCGGAACAGCGTCCTCCTTGCCGCGACGCGCACGCGCTTGGCGGCGTTGAACGAGCTTGGTAAAAACAAAGACCGGCGCGGCTCGCCTCCGGCATGGCCGTCGTCATCGTCATCGTCCTCGTCCGTTACCTCGACCGCCCTGCCCCCGGACGCGTCCAGGAAGTAGCGCCCTCGGTGCGCGGCGCCAACGAGCTCCGAGAGCCACTCCAGAAGCGCTCGGCTCGTGATACGCTTCGCATCGGTGGCGTCCACCACGCTCTCGAGCTTGACCACGAGGTGCCGTAGCCGCCGGAGCTTGCCCTCGACAGCCCCCCGGTCTTGGAGCTTCCCGGCGAGGAGGGATATCGCCCTGCCCACAAGGTCGGCGACGACCGTGGATACGACGGCCTCGGCCATGCTCAAATTCCTCCGGCTATTATCTGCACATTGCGAACCAGCCGCTGTCAGAAGCTTCGTCTTGCTCTAGTAGGACGCACTGTTTAAAAATTGACACGCCGAGACCTCACCGCCTATGCCGGCTAGCGCCCAACTGCCGCCTAGACTCACAAGTCACAAGGCAGATGATGAGACGCCTAGCTCACCGTCTAGGCGCAAGACGCCACCCGACTGTGTCCGCCTACCACCTGGCGATTTTTTTTTTTTAAGAATTGCTCAAGATGGTATGGAACAGAACATTGTTCGAGATCATCAAACTGTTGCTGGTAATGGCCAGAAAGATTTTTCTAAATATGCTACTGGGTTATCTCAACTCTGAGCGTCTGATTTTGACTAATGATACCAATTAACCCGACAGCATACCTTGTTTTCAACTCTTTATTCAAAGATCGCCGGCTTAGCCACTAGAAGTGTCCACGGACACCTTGGTAAGACCATTACCACTGCACTGTTGGTAACGAAGGCCTGCTTTACTATTTTTTCAGGAACCTTTTTCGGTTTTTGGCTTTTGTTCGTTGGATAAGCTTTGATTTCGGATAAAACAAAAGGCTGCAATTTCCAAGTGTTTTGATCCTCAATTCATTTTCAGCTAGAAAGGTCTTGGAGACCGAATGAAACTTGCCATTAAAGGCTGTCTAGGGGAGCTCCTGGCTTCAGCCAAAATAGCTTTAGCTATGATCTTTTTTTATGAAGTAACTCTTTCTAACTTCGGCTTCTCTCGTTAGAAAAATGTTATCTGCACATTGCGAACCAGCCGCGGTCAGAAGCTTCATCTTGCTCTGGTAGGACGCATTGTTTAAAAAATGACACGCCGAGACCTCACCGCTATGCCGGCTAGCGCCCAACTGCGGCCTAGACTCACAAGTCACAAGGCAGATGATGAGATGCCTAGCTCACCGTCTAGGCGCAAGACGCCACCCGACTGTGTCCGCCTACCACCTGGCGATTTTTTTTTTAAGAATTGCTCAAGATGGTATGGAACAGAACATTGTTCGAGATCATCAAACTGGTGCTGGTAATGGCCAGAAAGATTTTTCTAAATATGCTACTGGGTTATCTCAACTCTGAGCGTCTGATTTTGACTAATGATACCAATCAACCCGACAGCATACCTTGTTTTTAACTCTTTATTCAAAGATCGCCGGCTTAGCCACTAGAAGTGTCCACGGACACCTTGGTAAGACCATTACCATTGCACTGTTGGTAACGAAGGCCTGATTTACTATTTTTTCAGGAACCTTTTTCGGTTTTTGGCTTTTGTTCGTTGGATAAGCTTTGATTTCGGATAAAACAAAAGGCTGCAATTTCCAAGTGTTTTGGTCCTCAATTCATTTTCAGCTAGAAAGGTCTTGGAGACCGAATGAAACTTGCCATTAAGGGTTGTTTAGTAGAGCTCCTGGCTTCAGCCAAAATAGCTCTAGCTATGATCTTTTTTTATGAAGTAACTCTTTCTCACTTCGGTTTCTCTCGTTAGAAAAATGTTTGGTAAAACAGTTTCTCATGGTTATTGAAAATGATGAAATATCTAGAATACCCTTCCATTATTCCTCCCTCGTTTCTCTTTAGTCCTCCTCTCTTCACCTTCTCCGCATGTCTGCACGTATGCCTAGGCAACTTCGCGCCAGTCTCGCTCTGTCCCGCAGTGCCTTGCCCGCGTGCAGTTGTTGCCTGGCCTCAACCTGTCCTCGCAACGCCATGCCTACCACCCACACCATCTCTCCACCTCGCGTCATTGTCGCCCAACCTCAACTGCTCCCTGCGTCGTGCCACGCATGCCACCATGGCAAATCGGACCATGGCCCCATGCTAGGACCACGGGAGTGAGAGGGAGCCGAGCAAATATTCTTTTTAGCTCTTGCTCTATCCCCATGCGATTTGACAGGGAGCGTTTGGTCAATGGAGTCGTGGAGCTTTACCAAACATGCAGCACGTTCGGCTGGTGGACTGAACAATGAATTTTGGATGGTTCTGGATAATTCAATAGCATTCTGTGAGGGAGAATAAGCTAAAACAAGTTAGGACATGACCAGCCGAACGGGGTGATGGTCTAAGAATGACCATGGTATAATAGGAATTGAAGAGGTCCCATACGAGGCTTGCCTCAAGCCCTCAACCATTGAATGAACTTCTTCCTAGCTAAAGCTAGTTCACTTGCTACTTGATTACACTCTCCTTTAGCGCGAGATGATCCATTAATGTTGTTTTTATTTGAATAGTATTTTTTTAATCTCCAATCATGCGCGGTGTTGGAGTTGACTAGACACGATGGTTGTGGTGTTCCACGTAAGACAAGAGACGAAAATGAACTGAAAATAAAAGTTTAAAGACTGAAATACATTTTGACAGTTTATGAATGAAATTGAGTCCAAAATATAAAGTTTGAAGACCGAAATAGCCACTTTGATAGTCCTATGATGAAACCAAGCCAAAAAAAAAACTTTGAGAACTGAAGTCATTTTGAAAGTTCAGGGACCATAGGGCCTCATACGGTAGTTAAAGGAATTGGAATATCCATTCCAAAAATATATTAAGATAAACAAATATACTACATACAGTCAAATAAATATGAGTTTCAAACATAAAAATGGCATTTTGTTTGTCTGGAGCATAATACTCATACTTTTAGTTGTTTTGTAAGATAATAACTTACCAAGACGATATATTATTAATTTTATAATAACTAGCAAATATGCCCGTGCGTTACAACGGGACATACAACATGTTACGTAGTTAACTAAACAACTTGTGCCTTGGAGATTTATTGGACAACTGTATCATGCATTCCAACTTGTCTCATCTCGTGATTGGACACGCGCATCTCTAGCTCATATATGGATATTGGAGATTTAAAGATTAAAGATTTATTCAATATTCGTGTGTTGTGTTTTAATTTATTTTGGAACTGAACTCTGCACCGTCTATGTAGGATGCACATGCAAGTCGCTGTACTCGCAACTCATGAGAAATGTCACGCACATTCGTGTGTTAATATGGAAGTATGAGTACGGTGTCGAGACTCGAGAGTCTTGGTCTACCGGTCAGCTAGCTGACGATACGATGACATATTGATGTTGGATGAACTTAGGAGCATTGTTGTTGGTCGATTGGTCTTCTTAATGAAATACGTGTCTAAGTCATGTTTTTGAAAAAAGAAGTTGGTCGATTGCTTGTTTGCACATACAGCTAGTTAAGGAGCAAGGAGAGGAAAAGGAAGCAAAGGGAGCTAGCTAGCATTGGTTTGTGTGGGTTCATTGTGGACGTGCATGCTTTGAGTGTTTTTATTTCTCTCTTCCCATGCACATACTATACATGCAGTGCAATACTGCAAACCATCCATCTCCTTCAACATCGCGCTGAGCAAAAAGGCGACGTCGATCCTTAGTCGTTACTCACCAG